ATGTAACACCCCCAGGAAGATCTAAGATATCACTCAGAATTAAACACTAACATTTTTGCAATGAAACATGGAAATATTCACAGTAAAGTAGGCCAAATAAAGCCCAGAAATAGCCTCATATTAGTTCAAAGCAGATTTTTGCCACTACCAGATAAATTTTGACGTGGAGTTGCATGAAAAAAGATCTTCAGCACGTTCTAGATTTTAGTACTGTGCAGGTGAGTGTAGACTGTATTGATGGTAACAACCAGTGAGGAGACTCTTAGAAATTGCACGAGGATGATAATTAAATGGATGAGAGTTAAAGGAGCTGAGAGAGGCATGTGAAGAGCTTAGATAATTTTTGTTTTCAGACTAAAAAGAGAATTGCTACTTCTGAAAAAAATGAGAAGTTGAGGGACGCTAGTTTAGGAAAGAGTGTAAGTTTAAACTTGCTTCACATGAGATTCCCTTTTAATTTTCATGTATTTCATATCACGGATGAAGTAAAAGCTCAGATGTACTGGACTATAAAACTTCCTTTTAAAATAAGCTCTGGATTTTCAGAGCCTTCAGACTTCTAGGCTGAGAGAGGTGGTCCTGGATAACTAAGAATCAGGGCCATGCTCACCTGGAAAGTAGACTGAAAGGAGTACAGTGAGGTGCTTGTCCCCTAACAGTAGTCTTTTCTGTAGAGTCGTTAATATGGCCTTATTTATATAATACGAATATATTCAAAGGGAGTCATGGCTGCAGCAGCCGCAGTAGTAGCTGACATGTTTTGAATGTGTACCATGTGCCAGCCACTGATCTAAGTGCTTCACAGCGAGCAGTCCAGTGGTGTCTGTGTCTGCCCTGTGGGTTGGGTCGTATCACCCTAGCTAGGAAGCATTACCATAGATAGTGGTGTGGTTTTGATTCCCAATTCACTTTAAAAATCTGAAATACAGATATTTAATGCATGAATATAAAGAATTGGGTAAGTTTTAACTGCATTGCAGTTCTGTGACATTTCTAAAAATCTACTTTGATAAATGGACTCAATATGTTAATGCTGTCATATAAATAAAAACTCTTAGAAATAGGGACTACTGTTTCTTTGACAAAAATGAAATAAGGTCCAGTAATTATACTTAAAATTAGTTTTATTGCTTTCTATTTGTGTACAAATGTATGCATTTTGTGATTCATACATTCTAAAAGGCAAATTTTGTATTAAACTTTTATTCAAATTCTGCTACCAACTTGTATGATTTGAACTTTGATTTTCTTCTATTAAATACAGATGTTGGGCTAGATAATCTGTAAGGCTTCTTTTAGTATCAAATTCTACAATTCTAAGTATTTAAGTTTCATCAAGTAGAATAGAAAACTTAAACCACAATTCAAAGGAGATTCTCCTTAGATTGTGCTCTAAGTATAAATGAGATACCAGGGGAAGAAGTTAAAGAAGGAATGTCATAATTTTACACTTAACATTCTTTTGACAGACAGTAAGAACAAACATATAAATAAGGACCCTGGGAAACTAGAAGAACATGCAGTAAACATTTTCAAGATAATGATCACTAATCAAGTTAGTAATCATTCAGTCAATTTCATAACAATATAGAGAAGGAACCCTGGACCTAGAATTAGAAAACCACAAATATATTTCTGGCTCTGACTCTGCTGTTTATCGGAGATTTGATAATCAGTAAATTAGTTTTCTGAGCCTTGCAAAAAAGGGAGAGTAATAACTACCTAGGCTTCCTCGGTGCAGTGATTTTCATAATGATCAAATGATATGGTAAAGTAGAAATGACTAATAAACCTTAAAATATTTATGAACTTAACATTATTGGAAAAAGGTAGGTGAGGATCCTTAAGAGGTTGGATTTGGTGATTATAATTAAACTGTTTTAAGGGAGGAAACTTGAAGGCAGGTTAAAACAAAGTTGAGGCCATAGTGTATGTTACTCAGTAGGTACATTTGGCAAGACTTGAATGGTAGATACATGGACTGGCATAGCATATTCATTCTTTATGTTGCTATTGCAGTTTTTTGCATGCATGTTTATGGTTCTTACTGGACTAGGGGGTAGGTAAAGGACAGGAACTACAGCTCATTCTCTGTTTTCTCAGTACCTTGAATAAAGTACCAATTTTAATATATAGCTTTGTGAACAAATAATTGCTAAACAAGATATAAACACGTTCATGGGTGGGAGGGAGAGATCGAAAAGGGAGATGTGAAACAAAGTGGTAAGATCTGGAGCCACAAATGAGAAATATGAGTCTTAGTAGTAAGAGACTTTTCTTTCTCCTAAAAAAGCACCAGACCTAGGAGGTTTTACCATTGAATTCCTTAAAACATCAAGCACCAGGTAACTATTTTAGAATATAGAGAGGAAAAATGGTAAGCCTCCCAGTTCATTTTATAAATTCAGCATCACATGATAAAATATGAAAGACACACACACAAATCTCACAAAAGTTGGTGTAAAAAATGCTTAATAGAACTGTAAAATGGAATCTATCATTACATTAACAGAGTAATACTGTAATTGGATTCACTGTAGGAACATAGTGATAAATCAAATTCATATTAGTAGGTGAGGGGGGATCATGACTAACGGACACCAAAAAGAGAAAAACAACCAACATTTATTTCTGATAATAATCCTTAGTGAAACAAGAATAAATTGATATACCTAAGATTTTATGTATCTCAGACCACAAGTCAGCATTTTTTATGGTTGAATTCCTATTTCAGTATTTAGTGAAATAGCGAAATTCCTTTTAAAAAGCCATGAATCAAGAAAGATGTGGCCAGCATTACTATTATATAACATTGTCCTGAGAATGCTGGCCAATATAATTAGACACACACAAAAAAAAAACCCAAAATAGGAGATGTAATTAGAGATGTAATTATTTGAAAGGAAGGAAGCAAATTCACTATATGTGGAAAAGCCAAAAGAATCAACTGAAGTATTACCATGAGTAATGAGATTTCAGTATGATAGAAGTTAATCTAAAGTGGATTTTAGTGTTTTTTTTTTCCTTTTATGTCCTTTAAACTGAAAGCCTATTCATATGGGTCAATGAATGGGAATCTTCATTCTTAAAATAGCTTTTGTTGGTTTTTTTGTTTTGCTCTTAGGGGAATGCAACAAACTGTATCGCCAAGAAAAGTACAGCCTGTTTTGAATAAGACACTTTTTATATTAACTTCTAAAAACTACTTTGAAATAAAATTGTAGCAGTAAATACATTTAGAATGACTTTAAGGAATTTTTTTTTAATTTCTTGTGGCTGTGATACTATTACTTGGTAATGTCAGAGAAGGTGTAATCTGATCTTTGAGCCATATTTAGTAAATAATAATTTTCTGTGGTGCCCACTGTTCTATCAGTAAGGAAAATGATTGCACAAATATAAGACTTTTCTTTGCCCTTAAAGCATTTCCTGACTTCAAGACCCAAGTTATATCACGTTGTTGCTTCTTTTGTGTTTTAAAAAGCATTGTATTCCAGATCTTTAACCTTAACAAGAGGTGTGTTGACAAAACTATTTTCTACTCTACTTGGAAAAGAGTTACATGTCTTCTTGTTTGCCACTACATGTAAATTGTTATATTTTTATTTATTATTAGTTCTCAGAATTGAGCTCTCTAACACATCTACTTTGTAGTTCTGAAATCAGTGATGATAAATTGGTTTTATCTCTTAGGATATGATGCAGAGGAGTTATTTAAAACTAAAGCTTATTACATAGCTGTTGCTTTAGTATTTATGAAATGGAATTATACCCATGTTGAGAACAAAAAAATGTTTTATCTTTTAGTAATAACGTATTGAATACCTGCTATATGCCAGATTGTCAGATTTTTTTTTTATACTTAAGCTAATTCTCATGGCAGACCAGTGAGGTGTGCAGTGGTGCCCCATTTAATAGAAAAGAAACTTCTGCAGAAAATTTTTGTCCAAGACAATGCTACAAAACCAGGTTTTTTCTACCAACAGTATGCCATCACAAAAGATCAAAAATTTATATTTTCTTAAAAACTACTTAATTCTGTCTTTCTTTGTTGTATTGCTGATTACTAAAGATGCGGGGCGTTATTTGAATCCTTGTCTTCACTTTTTTTTTGTCTTGTTATAATTCTCATAATCACCTATCATTTGGCAGCAGCGGGCAATTCAGTGTATTTTGACCACTGTGGGATTGGTTTCTTGGAGAAAATCCTTAGGGTGCCAGTTCACCAAGCATAAGGACATTGTTTCCCGGCCCTGGTGATCTAATTCATGCAATAGTCTACCACTTTTCAGATCCTACCATTTCTGTAACATTTGTAGTTGCAGAGTTGTTTGTTCTGTTTGTTTTTCAATATGGACCTAACCAAAAATAATTTTTTTCATCATTGAATCTATTTTGGTAACGGAAGAGAGAATTTCCAGTGTGGTTAAGAACCATGTCTTATGAGCTGTTCTTTGTTTCCCTCTTTATGAACTACCAAGTATTTTTTTCAAATTGGAACTTGAAATTTAATTCATTGTTTGGCTATATCTAAAGCATTTCTTAACCTCAAGAGAATTAATTTAAGAAATTAGGTGCACAGTTAGAAGAGGACTGTAAATAGGATAGCAAAAGAGAAAAGCAAAATGACCTGAAAATGAGGACTTTGGGAAGTTTTACGGTTGAAAATGGGTTTATTGTTTTTCTCTTTCTGTTATATTCTGTGGTCTGATATTGGACAGTCTATTGCTAAAGCCAGTAGAGATCTTACAAAGGTTATTGTTTCAGTTTCAAGATTGGGAGTTTAGAATAGAGTTGGGTAAATTAAAATAATGACTTAACTAATGTAAATAGCATTTTCTGGTAACGTGTAACTTAAGAGACCCTTTTTCCACTTCGGAATATTTTATGTGAGAGACATTGGGGACTGCCTAACTGCTGTTAGATCTCATAATGTTATCTGGTCACGTTTTTTGTTCTGCCTACCTCTAGTTTACTCTAGTTTCTCTTCTGCTTTCAAGGCTCCAGACCCAGTTCCTGGACCTGCCCTGGAAAAGAAGTATCCAGTAGAGATGAGCTCACTGCAGTTACTTAATTAAAAATTTGTAAGCTGCAAAAATGGCAATGGGCCAACCAAGAACAGCTACAATTTGAATTTTTCTGTTTCCAGGTATGCTAAAGTGGATGGCACCCATCAAGCTTAGCCTATGTAACTGCCTTATGATGATATCTTTAATAACCAAAACTTTAAAATTTTATGGTCCTTTTGCTTTAAAGTATAGTAGCATCCCTAACATTGAGGTAACTTGTGGCTAGTATTGACCTTAACATACCTTTTGCCTGAATATTTCTAATTTAATTTGTTTGCTAGTAGTAGCAAACTAATCCATAAACAAATTTTAAAAAAATAAATTTGAAATGCTGTTGAGTTAAGCCCTGTAAATGTATACAAAAAGTAATTGGTCTCCACTGAAAAGTAAGCATTAACCACAATAGAACTATCTTCCTTTAAGAGTTTTACATATAGAGCAAGTAATGTACATCAAGGGAATTAAATAAATGAAACTACTTCTCCATCCTGAGTTCTATACTATGAATGAATGCCTTCATGTAAAGAGTTAATATATTCTTCAGCAATTGGGAATGATAAGTAAGAGTTCTGGATACAACCAAATAATGTATTATATGGAACTGTTTGCCGAAGAATTTAATTTTAAATATAAGTATATAACTAATATTTACCTTATTTTTACTTGATTGCTCAAAAAAAAAAATAACCATACTAGAAAGTTACAACTGTTTGGAATTATAACAGCAAAATGTAACAAGAAAACTAAAAACTGACGTTTCTTGCTGCCTTAGATTTTAACCAAGGGGAAACTACCTATGAATGATTTGAGGGTTAAGGTCAATTAATTTTTAAGGATATTGATCTCTTTTACCAGTTTGTATAAATTTAGAAACAGAATTAATCCATAAAGATGATTTTTACTTACTAAAAAAGATAATCATATCTTTTTATTTTAAAAGCATTATTTACTTATTTATTTTTAAAGATTTTATTTATTTTTAGAGAGAGGGAAAGGGAGGGAGAAAGAGAGGGAGAGAAACATCGATGTGTGGTTGCCTCTCATGCTCCCCCATCTGGGGACCTGGCCTGCCACCCAGGTATATGCCCTGACTGGGAATCAAACCACCAACCCTTTGATTCACAGGCTGGCACTCAACCTGCTGGGCCACACCAATCAGGGCTATTTATTTATTTATTTTCAAAGAGAGGGGAAAGGAGGGAGAGAAACATCTATTTCTGTTGCCTCTCACACACCACCAACTGGGGACCTGGCTCACAACCCATGCCTTGACTGGCAGTCGAACTGGTGACCTTTTGCTTCATAGGCCAGTGCCCAGTCCACTGAGTCACACCAGCCAGGACCATATCTTTTGATTTTAAGGTTCAGTTCAGATAGGTTAGAGATTACCCAATATCAAACAGAGTAATTTAATATTCCAATTGTGATTTTAAGAGATGATTCTAATATTCTAGCTCCAGCTTTAAATTCCTCCCTCAATTATTAATGCATAAAGAATTTAAAATCAGCCAATCTAGTCAGTATTAAGTCACTGATTATGTGCCACATTATTTGTTTGATGTTGAAAAAATTTTATCTGAGTGTTGAATTAGGACTGGAAAGGGAGCTACTACTAGAATTATTGGAGCATTACTACTGTTAAGTGAATTAAAGGGAAAGATGAAGAGGGAATTGCATCTGATTTTCAAATCGTACTAGTTATCACTGGGGCTGTTAGTAATGGTAAAAGTCTTTATAGAGTGCAAATTGTGTTTAAAGCATGGTGCTAGGCACAGTGAGGTTGTCAAGAAGAATAAACCTAACTTTGAGTGAGCTTATAGACAAGTAAAAGTATCATAAGATGCAAACAAGATAGTTGAAGATACCAGGTAGAATCAATTTGGGGGGGGGGGAGTACTGTTTCTACTGAGCCTTGAAGGGTAGAAAAATTCTTTAGAGAGTGTGGCAAGAGTATTTCTAAGTTATGGAAATGAAAGTATGTGTAATATATCCTAGAAATTGTCAGCAGTCCAGTGTGCCTAAAAAATAGTAAGGTACAGGATGATGGAAGATAGAACTGTGCCGTGTATGCTTATGAATGTCAAGTGAAGGAGTTTGATTTAATTCAGTAAATAATAGAGCTCCATTGAAGATTTTCTGGCCCTGGTTCACATATATCACGGAGTCTTTTGAAAAGCTGGATGTGGCAGAGGGAGAATTGCTTGATAAAGTTAAGAGATTAGGCAGCAGTAATACCTAATAAAGGACAGCATTTAGTATTATATGTGTGAGGCATTGTGTATGAAGTGTTTTACCTTCAATGTCTCATTTAATCCTTACTACAGGAATGTTGTGAGAAGTAACTGAAATAATACAAGTCAATCATTTAGCACAGGACCCGGTCTATAGTAAGTGCTAAACTCTGTTGACTGTACTATAAGCTCAAAAAAGTGTTCTTGTCCACCATTATTTGTGATAAATTTGTGTAACAGTGCCACATTTATTTGGAGACTCTTAAGCTTGAGATAGTAACAATAAACTTCTTTTTCTACTACCCCTTACCTCTTTCTTTCAAACATTTATACCATCTCATTGGTAGAAGGTACTGCTTACTCAGTTTGAAGGCTGCGCATTAGTTCATGTTGAGGTAGCCTTTGGGTGAGAGAGAGAGACCTGTCCTTTTTGTTGTTGTTATAAACAGGACACTATGAATTAGGAGACTAAGCATAGAGATAGTTATGGATAAATTAATTAAATTAAAACATAAAATATAACTGTACATCTTACCTGTCAAGCATTCTGAAAATTGATAATTGCTGCATCTGTTAACTATATCATTAACAATTTCAACATGGGTAACATCTTTAAGTATTTAAAAGTGCATATAGTTGGCTAAGTACAAGTATTTTCAAATAACTCATTCCGTTCTACTATTACTCTCCTTACCCACATATCAGAATACAGGTAATGTTATGTGGAAATATATAGGAAATAATTTTATAAGGAAAATATTTTGCTCTAGTTATCTTCAGTTGTTTATACTGACTACTGCATCTATATTCCTATAAAAATAAAAACATAATAGAGATGACTAAGCCTCCTTGGACCATCTTCCATCCATGGGTCCCTTTCCCCAGCCCCATCTTCAAAATAATTAGTGATATCCTTTTAGAACCTTTTCTATAAATCTCTCTTTGGTATCCTTATTTTAAAAAAACACAAATTGGTTATACATGGATTTTGCATCTTTTTCATTTGGAAATGTTTAATAGGTGTTTCCATATAATTACTTGGATATTTTACTCCACTTTTTTAAAAAAGCAGTTGAATGGCATGCCTTATTATTGCTGTACAATAATTTACTTATTCTTTCCTCAGTGGACACTTAGATTGTTTTTACTAATACACAGTGAGGTGTGATCATCCTTATATCCTCCTCTTTGAACACATATGCTTGTCTCTAGATTAGATACTTTAATTTATATAAACATAAATAAAGAGATAGAACTCTGGTACCTTATTATTAACTAATTTCATTCAACCCATCTCGCAACTGATTGCAGATAACTGGATATATATATCTTAATAGGTCTCTCCTTAATTCTTTTTAGTTTAAGAAAAATGATATAACAGTTGTCTTCTCTGCTTCATATATGGGAAAGGTAAAATGAGATAACAAATATTTGCTATAAGAAGTCCAATATAGCCCTGGCTGGTGTAGCTCAGTGGATTGAGCATGGGCCTGCGATCCAAAGGGTCACTGGTTCGATTCCCAGTCAGGGCACATGCCTGGGTTGCGGGCCAGGTCCCCAGTATGGGGTATATAAGAGGCAGCCATGCATTGATGAATATCTCCTCTCTTTCTCTTTCCCTTACCCTCTCTCTAAAACTAAATAAATTTTTTTTTAAAAAGTCCTATATAAATCTGAATTCTACTAGATTTTAATCTCAAAAGCACTGACTATACTTCATTCATCTTTGCATATTTTAGAGCACATTGCATGGCATATAGTGGGCAATGTTTATGGAATGGACACCAGAAATGGTGAACCAAGAAGTAGGTCATATCTCGGAGAAAGTTGCAGACCACTTAAATTTTCTTATATGTAGATTTTACATTACCTGATATCTGTGTGTTTTTCACTGAAATTTTCCCACCTTTTCAACTTCATCTCACTTCCCAGTTGCATTATACCATGATTGATTAAATTTATCATGTTCTTTCATGACCTTTCCCCCAACACAGTTGTCATTGACATCCTGCAAGACTTGTATTACTCATCTCTCATGGTTAAGCTGAAGCACTACAGTCTTCACGAAGTTTTTCCTGCCCGTCCTTAATTCCTGAGTTGGCATTTCTTTCTTTTGACCTCCATTGCAGGTTATGCACCTGCACATGGCACTGAGTAAATGTTGCTGAATGAATGTATGCCCGCCTCTGGGACCTGGTGGGGTGTCACAGAACCAGGCGGGGCCTGGAACTTTGGAGATAAATTATCTGAATGGAGAAAGGGAGGGGCATGTTTTTGCTGACTTGTGGGATGCGGTATACATGGTGCAAAGGAGGTCAATTAGATCTTCTGTGATGTAACCCTACCTGTCCCATGTTTTCATCCTCATCTTTCATCCCATTTTCTCCTTGTTTGTTTTACTACCTGCACTTCACCAATAGCCCAGCTACTTGTGGTTTCCCAAAACTTGCCATTCTGTTTTACTCCTTTAAGTCTTTTTCTGGGTGCAGTTAACTTATGTCTAAGATATTCTTTTCCTCTCACGTACCCACCTAGTAAATATGTTTTCATCTTCCAAGGCCCAGCTTAGTTGTCACCTTTACTGAATCCTCTTTTAAAATTCTACCCTTATATCAAAATTGACTGCTCCCTCCTTTTCCCTTATATACTGCACTTCCGACTCAGTTATTACATGTATTTGTTGATGTTTGTCTCCTACTAAAATGAAAAGTTTTGAACATAAGCAACTGTGCTTTTATTAATTTGAATATTCAGCACCCATTATAGTATTAAGTAGTAGTCACTCAGTGAGCTTATTAAAATATAATACATATGAAAATATATTAAAATAATACATTAGAAAATGTTAT